CTCTGATCAGAGAAACAGTTTTATATGTATTCTGCAAGTAAACAGTATGATTCAGTCAAAGAGAAATGACTGAAGGCCCCAGGTAGGATAAAAGCATTTGCTTAAAACAGGGGTTGACTATAAACTCTTACAATAAAATTGTTTAATGAGCACTTAGGTTGAAAACATCATGCACCTTCATGGCAGTTACGGAGTCCCAGAACTGCGCTCACCAGGACAGTCTTCACTTGGGTGCTGTGTACCTTCTGCATTTAACTTCCTAATGCTATACTGAGCCACATACTTTTCCTGTCCCTGAAGTGAGCTCCAGGATTGAATTCAGGAGGAGTACTGAAAGAGACTGCTGGCTGGACTGGTTGGCCTCAGGCCTTATTGAATCAACATGCTAAGCGGCATAGGAAACAGGCAGCTTCAGGGAAAAAAAAAAAAGATAAAATAGTTAAGGCAAATGACTCTGTATTTTGGATTTTATTCTTCCAGAACTAGTATGTAGTACTGGGTGAGCTCTTTAAAGCAGAGTCGTCCAGTATCTGCTGCTAATCTCTTTCCCCATTGCTATCCCCTACCTCTAGTAGGGACTCTTAAGTCCAATCCCTCTAGCTTTGAGGCAGCAGATAGGGCACAGTTTAACAGAGTAAGTGTGAAGCCACAGCCAGTCACCTAGATGACTGTCCTTGTTGATAGTCTTGGCTGGATAGCCAGACCCTCTTTGGGCATTATAGGTCTTTTTTTCTTGAAGCAACAATTCAAGCAAATTGCGCTCTGCTATTTGCCTTTTCCCCATTACCTTTTCTTTAGCAAGGTAATAGGTGAAAAGCGTTATGTTCTGGACCAGTACCTTGGCAGCTATCTTCTCTGAACCTCTATTACATTTAAAGCCTGCTTGTATTTAAGACGGTGCTTAAGTTCCTAGTGATTCTGGATTAAGAGCAGACCTGTTTAGTCTTTGGACAAGCATCCTTCAAGAGCTGTCTTGGAAAATCTGGAGCTGCTTTCCTGGGACAATGCAGGAATCCTGGGAAGCATGTCCCTAATGTAAGGGGTTAACCTCTTCCCAAGCATTCAGTTTTCACTTCATAGCACCCAAACTTTAAAGCTTCCCAGTAAAACAGCAGTATACATTTCATTTAAGTTTTCTTCCTACTCTCATTCCAAGACCCAAAATTTTCCTCAAAAAAAATTTTGAGGAAAATTAGATGTAAAGCAGCTTCCTTAAGTTGCAAGCTTCAACCCAAACAACTGAGATTTGGCCAACTTCATAAGCAGGCCTTCCTGTCGGTTGTTTCAAGGAGTGTTGATGTAATCACCACTCTAGAGTTATCCTTGAACCTTTTTCTTGATAATTGTGCACTAATACAATTGAAAGAGGAAAGAGATCTTTTTTTCTTTCCTCTACAGCAGCTGCTCATGTCTAAGAGTAGTTGTCAGCAAGCCATTTTCTTCAGATAATCTTGAGGATTTACAAGGATCAGTTTCATTCTCACTCCTACTTGGAATAGGAGTGCATTGTTGTCTGTAGGACTTACCTAGAACTATACAGCCATTCTTGTATTATTAATAAAAAGTGAAGAGAAAGTCTATGTCTGTAAGACCGTTCTTCTGGTGAACTTCACTTGGATCATTATCCTTTCTGGTATTTGATACTGTGTTGTAAACCTTGCCAAATTCTGCTAGTTTGGGTAGGTTTTCTGCACTAAGGGGATTGATAGCCTATGCACATGTCAAAAAATGAATTCTTGATTTCAGAGACTCCAGGATATTTGGCTAAGGTCACTACAAGGTGAGACAGCCATAGGCTCTTGACTGCGAGTGCAGGAGGCCAGATCAAGGGTTTGTTCAGCACTGCTGAGCACAGAACAGTATTGACTGTCTTGCATTTCTTAGTGGCACCCTCCTGTCTTTTACAAGAGCACGGCATCCTATCTATTCCACTGCAAGGTAGAGAAAAGGTAAGCCACATTGTGCTGCTGCATGTGACTGAAGCTGCTAGGAGGCCTTTCTTTCTCTTTGCATGTCCCTCATTAAAGAAGGAGAAGGGAAGTATTATTTTACTGTTTGTTTCTGTTGTTGAAGGGCCAAGCCTGCAGCTGATTCAGACTTAAAGGAAAATACAACAAACCTCAAGCTGGAGGAGCAGGGCGGGTTGGGGCGTGTGGGTCCTGTAAGACTGAATTTTGGAATAATTTTAGTCCCAGCTTATTCAGAAAGCATCTCTGTAGTGGTTATTATCACCACCATAGCTAAGCCATCAACTCAAAGGGAGTGCAGAGGGCACAGCCTCCTCACACTTTTTCACATGGGCTGATTGCCTTTCAGGGTGCTCCGTTCTGCCTGTTTGATGGGTTGGGTTAGAAGCCCTGCTGGAGGAAGCCTTGCTAGAGGAAGAAGCAGTCATGGCTTGTACCTGCTCTTAGATCCATCAAAGTGCAGCCCTGCGTGAGCTGCTGTTGCTTCACAATTCCACTGAAAATGGTGTTTTCATTTTTATTATTGCATTTATTGTGGAGACCTGTTTCAGGTTAGAATTCTTCTTTTCTTAGGGTTTGCTTGAGAACCTGATGGGTTTTTTTGTTTGTTTGCTTTTTTTTTTTTTTAAATTCTTCACTATGTGAATTTTAATCTGGATCAGTTCTGTGGGCTATGGGGAGAGGGAGGAAGACTGGCACTTCTGTTGGGAGCATGGATGTAGATTTTGGATCCACCAGCTAGGAGGGTAAGGAAAGGACATTGAGGAGTAGGAAAAAGCAGACTGAAACTGAAATGAGGAGAGTACAAGGGTGTGCTCTGGGAAAACAAGCCATCAGCACAGAGAGACAAGAGGGAAACTTCAAACTCTGGAAAATATCCTGATCTTGTTTTTGTGAGACCCTGTGCTGGCTCCAGCTGCCTGTCATCCTGCTCTCTTGCTGGATCTTGGTTGTACCCAACCTCATCCAGTAGCTGCTGCTGTTGAAGACTGTTTTCAAAGGGAAATGTGAACTAAAACTTGCTGCAAAATGAAGTCTGATGCTGAGAACAGTGAATTAGAAAGATATTGAGGAAGAGTCACTTTTTTGTGATCTGCTTCCTGGCAGTAACATAGATGAAAGCTCCTGGTTTTTCAAACTAAAATTTTGTGGGTGGTTTGTGGTGGTTTTGTTTCTTTTTAAACAGACTCCTTAAAGGGCAAGTTGTTTTTAAGTGTCTACATTGATCAAAGAATAAACCTCCGTTGCTTCAATTGTTGTAAATACTTTAGCCACTTCAGGTGGCTTTGTAACTCTCTTCTCTTATTCTCCCACTGGCAGAAGCTTCTGCATCTTGAACTTTGCTTTTCTAGTTAGATTCAGTTGCCTGCTGAGGAAAGAAAGTATATTTCAGTTTGCTTGAGTATATTAGTTATATAGTAAAAGAGACACTAAATTGAGGACAGCAGCTCTTGATGTCTGTTGAAATGCTGTTGAACAGCAGTGGGTGTGACCAGTTACATTTCACTCCCATACCAAAGCCACTTCATTAATGATTACTTTAAGTTAGTAGCCCCTCTTTACCTTGCCTAACTATTCTTTCCGCTCCCGTTGCCTGCTTCCTCATGAAAATCGTAGCAAAAAGGAAGCAATAATAATCTGTAAGCCTAGGTTGAGGTGTATGACATCAGTCATGTCATTCAAAGCAGTTATTGTTTATAATAGCATGTTTCACAGCCACATTTGATACCACCTTCCCAGTACATATAAGATAGCTTAACTTTCTCTGTAGGTTCTTTGTGGCTGTATGCAAAGTAGCCTTCTCCAGGACTCCTACACCGTAAGTACTGTCTTTTCTTCTAAACTTGTCTAATAAATTAAATGTAACTATCTTAAATGAAGAGGAATTGATACTACCATCCCCGAACGAGAGCTTGGCTGGTTTAACTATAGGGTAGATGGGAAATGACTCCATAGCCTTTAGCCCTGCAAAGCATGGGGAGGAATTGCTTTGGGGAGAAAGTAACAGGTTGGGGCCTGGAGGTCATAGGAGGCAGGTGAAAAGGAGAGGGAAATGGACAGCAAGAAGCAAAATTCCCCACCTTCCTTACCAACATGCTTGTGTGTAGGAAGAAAGAGCTCATGCTATATAGAAAGGACTTTGTTGCTGATATCTCAAGCAACAAAGAGAATGGAAAGAGAATGACTGGAGAAACAAGGTATTTTCTTGCTTTTGGGGAAGTGAGGTCACCTCCTTCATAATATCAGTATGTAGGCTAAGATCCTAGAAGAAAATTAACATTTATTTATTATAACTTAATTGCTACTTCAGGCCATATGAGTCCTAACAGACGTGTTCTCCTATAGCAGTATATTCAAGACCCAGGCCTCCAAGGGAAGATATAGGAATATGTTGCAAGACCCTGAGCAATGCCTGGGGGCCTACAGCTGGAAAGACCTAAATGAGGGCTGAAGGGAGTTTCAGCTGAGGCAGTAGAGGAAATGCTTTGGACCCAGCAGACAAATCTATTGAGTAATACCGTATACTGTATGTGTGATACTGAGACTTCTTGGTTTTTTTCATGTATGATTTTTATAAAATTTGCAGGCCCATGTTGAGAGTCTGGCTATAAAAATAAATCCAAGTTTCCTACTTTTAAAATCCAAGTTGAATTCAAAACCACCTGAGTTGAACCTGTATTGCATGGGGTAAAATGGAGAAGGAGAATTCTCTGCATATGCAGAAGACTTTTGCATAGACTTAAGAAACACAGGTTCCGTGGGCTCAGCCAATGACTTGCAGCCTTTGACCTCTGCTTGTCTGCTGCCAAGACACTAATCAACTGATTGAAAAGAAAATATCACAGCAATCTTAAATCCTAATGTATGTTGCAATAATGTAACATTTACCACTTTAGTGGGTTTTTTTGTTTGTTGTAGGATGAACCTACTAGAAAATATTTTGTTAAATTCCAGCCCGCTCATTAACAGACCTGGATAAAAACTGAAAAACAGAAGCTTCCTGAAGAACCTGCATAAAGATTTAGAACCTGCATAAAGATTTAGAACCTGCATAAAGATTTAGAACCTGCATCCAGCATCGTGGTAGGGAGCTGTGCGGAGATGTCCCTGCTCAGCTTTAAGCTAGGAGTCTTGAGGAGAGGGTCTAGTACTGTGGCTGAAAGCTTTAGCATACTCCAAGGTGCTGCTGTGAACCAGGTGGCTGTGTTGAAAACTGGTGTTTCAAGGAAGCTTTTCTGTGTGGATTGGAAAAGAGCCTGTCTGGGTGATACTGATTTCTTTCATTTGTTTTAGTAATAGTTAGGGAATAAAGTGCATTAAATAGGGTGCCGGGATGGAAGCGCACACAGCAAGGTGAAAAGAGGGATTCACCCACTCACTGGACATTCATGGGTGATGAGGAATATTGTAGCCTTTTATCTTTACCCAAGATAATACAGGGATGGGTGGTTTCCTTCGAATTCTTGTAGACATAATTATATTTATTTCTGCAAATTTAGTATGACACACTTCTCTTCCTTAAACTTTAGTTCGTTTTATGAGTAGGTGAGATACTGCAACAAAATTGTGGAACTTCTTTTTACAGTTACCTACTGGTGTCTTTAAGGAGAGTGCCACAGCAATATAATAATAGGCATGCAAGAACATCTAAGCACTGATGAAAGTTGTCCAAAAAAAAATTGCTTCTGTAGTTCTGTATTGGTGTTTTTTCTTTGCTCCTCCTTCAGTGTTATCCTTTTATTCTAACGTCTTTGAAACCTGTGAGAGGTAGTGAAGAGGTTCTTTGTTAGGTGAATCCTCAAGTCAAACACTCTTTAAATTGCTTATATTGCTTAAATTTGCTGGAAGGCCAGGTTGTGATTATGAGACCTGGGGTGCTAAAGGTACTGCGAATGCTAAGGAGAGTTTACAGACAGCGGCAGGTTGAACTGGGATGGTGAATCCTCCAATGGACCCAGGAGCTGCCCAGCCTTGAATGATCTTGGGTGATGCTGATGAAGGTAACTCCTGTCTGAGGCAATACACAATTTATCCAGTGATGGGCCTGGGATTTCAAGCAGGTCAGTTTACCCATTTTATTCGCTACAACACCTTTGTCTTAGGGAATTGCTTTTTGGATGTATTGACATTAATGAATTTGCCTTCATGCATTTGTATACACAGGGAAGCATACCATCCTGAGCTACATCTTATCTGAATTTATTTTTGCCTTGTGTATTCTCAAGGCTCCTCATAGCTGCTCCACATAACTGGTACACAGGTGCTGCTCCAGTTACAAACTGCTGTAGTTCAGAGTCTAATCATCCCTTTCTAGGCATGGAAACTGCTGTCTTGACCACTTCTCCCCATCCCCTCCCCCAACCCTGCCAGGAAAATACATTAATTAAAGACCTTCTCTTTTTTGTATTGTTTTAGGAAACATTAGTATACATTATTTATATAAAAGAGAGAGAAGGAAACCCAACGTATTTTTCTTTATCTCTTGCCTAATGCCAATGTGTTTCTAGTTGTTTATCTAGTGTGTTTTTATTCCATCTGGTTCTCTAGCACTTGAAATATCCTTACTAAAAACTTAATTTGCCTTGATGGAAGGTGTTCGCTTACATTACCTGGAACAGCTGTGGCTCGCAACTGAGGGAAGCTCTGAATGGAGCAGAGGGGTACAATTCACAGGTAACTATTTAATGCTGTTCCTAATACTTAGTTTGTATGCATAGTCCTTGTTCTCCTTTCCCCTCTTAGCCCTGTGTTTTATAGACACTTCTGCAGGGGTGCACCTGTGTTGTGATAATCTTTGTCAAGACTGACTGCCAGGCAGGACGTGTACATTAGCTCTTAGATGTGCCTCTGGTAACACATTTTGAAGTTATTGAAGGCAGTCAAACACAGAATATTTTCTTGTGCAGAAACCTGATGTGCTATAATACGGCTGATGACAAGGATTGCTGTAGCTTCTGGGTGTACTGCCCAAACCAAAGAGCAAGTGTCTGTACCACTAGTTGACTTCCCTTGGACTTCATGGGGAGAAGACAGCCTTAAGGATCTTTTGACCCCACTGATGTCCTCACAAGTCTAACTTTTGCTGATGGCTGGCTGTCTGAACCCCATAGGTGCTTAGGGTAGCATCCCCTCTGTGCTCTCTGGTTTTGAGGGTTTTTGCCATCCATCTGGGGAAAATAAAGGGCCTGTTAAGGATAGAATTTCTGTTGCTGTCCTGTGAAAGGGGCTAAAGAGCGGTCCCTAAAAAACAGAGGGGAAGTTGCAGGCAAGGGCAGGTATCGAGAGTAAAGGGGCTTCGCGGGATCAGGGGCTGGTAGAGGTGGTTTGGGGGCTGTGCTTGGGCCTGGATGAATCAGGCCTGAAGGGAAAGCAGCCCAGTCACAGGTCTGACTCCGTACAAGAACTAATCATGAAAAAGTGCTGGCAGTTGGGATTTCAATCCCCTGTAGCTTTGCAAAAGGCGTTATCTGCCAGAATGAAGGGAATTGCTGGGAGCAGATTAAAAGCAGCTGCATTTAGATCTGCAAAATAGTAATGAGAAGAGATGGGGAGGCTCAAGGAAAAGAACATAGAAACAAGAAAAAAGGGCAGATTTGATGCTGAGGAAAAACTGCATTAGCATGAGATGGGCTGAGTGGATAGTAATACTGCCTTGGCTTGGTCCTGGCTGTGCTTGCAGGGAAGCTGTTGATCGCAAAGGTGGCAGGACTGTTTCAGCTGCATGGGTTGACAACAGTCTGATTTCCTAACTTGGACAAGAGATTCCATTTAACTTGGTAAAATAAAGATATTGTCTTAAATGGCTTCTAGTTAATGTGCTTTGTTTAAAAAAGCATATAGTTGTATTCTTCTAAAAACAAACAAACAAACAAACACACACACACACACCCCCTAGGACCTGTGTTTATGTATTTGGTCTTTTAAAACAATATAGAAGCAGTTATTTATTTATTTATTTTTATTAATTATGTTGCCTGGAATGCCTAAAATAAGCACACTGCAAGTTCAGAGCATTTGCTAGTTCTATTTGAGGTTTTCCTCTTGAGAAGATTTTAAAAGTTTGATTTAGCTTTTTAAAAACTGTTTGTTTGCATCCAGGCTTGCTGATTAGTTAATCATTCATATTTCTGTACTACATATGAGAATACTTGGCTTATAAGATGGTTCAATCATGTAAGAGCTTTAACTGCAGTGAACGACAAATTCAGAAGCTTGTTATGTCAGAAAGGAGGAGGAGGAACTTCTGTTTAGGTCTTGCCTTCACAGGGAGAGGAAACACTGATAGTATCTATGTAATCTTGCACTGATGAGCTGGCATCACATTGCTTTAAAAAGATTGATATTTCAGATCTGATGACTAAGTGGTGGTGGGCACAGCTGCTTTAGAATCTGAGATAAAGGAAAGAAGGAAAACAAATCCAGAATTGCTATGTGAAAACCTTGCTGACATGTAATGCTGTCAGAACACTTTAAAGAGCAGAAACCCTATTCAGTGTCAATCAGGTACGTGCTATATTGAATGAAGTATTTATTATTTTAAATGTTGCCAAAGCTCTGCAATTGATAGCCACTAGATTTATGAATAAAAACCTCTCTAAATGAAATGGGTTAGTTAAAATATCAAGAGATTTGTTTAATTCCAGTACACATTTGTTCTTAAAGTCTAACAGTTTGTTCAGATAAAATGGTCTTTCAACAGGTTTGTGTTCTAAAAATTCTTTAGGATTCAAGCAAATTGTAGAAGTTTGCTATATTTTAAGATTTGGATTTAAGAAGCTAATTAGAAAGAGACTGTTGCACTAAAACCAGATGGAGTATTTTGAACATACATTCTAGAGGTTATTTTTTTTTTCCTTACAGTTTTTCAGAAACTACACAAATAAATATGTTAATGAAAGGCAGAAGCCACTTCTTAGCATTACAGTATTTTTAGGGTCTGATTCAAAGCACGTTGGAGTTCTTGGAAGTTTCTTCATTAGCTTGAATGGACTTTGGATCAGGCTCTTCAAGTTCCTGGTCTCATACTGATAAATATCTGTTTTTGTTCTTACAGCTGCTGTGTCTACTTTAGTAGCTTTCCCATTCTATTCTCTTAAAGAGAAATTCAGTTTTGAAACAATCCTCCTTGATTAAACAAGAAGATACAAACTTGTTTCTTAAGGTTGCTTTTGAAAATGCTAAAAGGTATATTTAATAGGAACTAAAGATGAGACAGCATGTGTGTACATCTCCATCATATCCATCAGGACCTCTGTCTGAAAGCTAGCAAAATTTGTTTTTTTTTTTTTTTTTTTGGTCTAGCAACGACAGGTATGATCTGGTCTTTCTATCTTGGACATTTTAAAAGGGAAGTTTTATTAGGGAAAATAAATTCCAATTTGGAGGGAGTAAGGGGATGAGCAAATTATGCAATTTAGACCTTGGAATGGCTGACAAATGTGCTATTTCCTTTTGGGAAAAGATTCAGCTTTATCATAGAGGGAATGAAGAACTATTACCTTTTTATATGCAGTAGAAGTTTTGATATGGTTATGAGTAGCAAGAGAAATGCCTTTTGAACATAGAGTCATGTAGCATTTGATTCTGACATGCTGAGTGTTGCCAGCAGTATGTTTCCTCATCCGTATCCTTGAAATTCCTTTCTCATCTGTTGCCCCCCAAGGGGGAGGGGGGGAACCGAAAGATAGAAGTATGGTGTCATTTACTGAACAAATACAATTTCTGATTTCTAATATGAAGTTTTAGAACTTTTATTTGCTTGTTCAGGACTTGATCAAAATTCCTGTAAATGTTTTGAGATAAATTGTGAGCAAAGTTTAAACATAGATTTAGCCCCCTGTCTCTCCTCCTCCTTTCTTAGTTTTTCTGTTTCTTTTAAAATAAAATGCAGCTTACGTTTCTTAGACACAGTGACTACAACACAACGTTAGAGGAAGACAGCCCTAGTGTCCCCATTCTCAGACTGGTAACAGTGTGTGTGACTGAACAGTTCCTTGTACTTTCAAAGGAGAAAGAAAAATAAAACTCTTAGACCTGAAGGGTTGGAATAAATCTTATGCTTCTTTACAGTTGATCTGTGAAATGCTCTGAATTTCAAGAACTAGTTAACTTACTTGAACTTCAAGAATTACTGGAGAAAGTAGAATCACAAGAATAATTTTATATCCTGGTGAATTTGGTTCTTGGTGACCTGATATACTTAAAATGTCACAGGAAGAAAATATCCACAGTTTTAGAGAGAGAGTCTAAAAATGTTGCAATTGCAGAATTGCCTTCAATGAATGTCGGCCACTGTGAGCGTCTGTGAATGATGATATTCTTCTAAAAAATGGATAAAAAATTATTAATTAAAACCACTCTAAAGTCATGTTGTTATATAGTCTCTTCAAATAAACTTAGTGTAGTTTTATTTCTGGTTATTAAGTATCGATTTCTCAAGAAAGTACAAATGGAAAAGTGCTTACAGTGAAAAGGGATGATTCCAGGGGGCTGAATAGGTATTATAATCCCTGTATTATTGTGCTGTTCTTCAGTTATCTGCAACAGGCTTTTGCTAGCAGCAGGAAATACTCACATGGAGTTTGCTGGCCCATTCCTCCAGGGACAAGAAATAGGAAGCTCAGAGAACAGAAGTTCCAGAATAACTCCTCAGATTTCATGTTAATAAGACCAGGAGGCCATTCAAATTTTGTAGCCTCGTTTCTTGATTAATATATTGGACAAACTTCCACCTGTGTGAATCGCCAACAAAATTCTTACTGACTCAGAGTCAGGATTTTACCCAGAGTGCAGTAAAAGGCTTTTTTTTATGTCCAGTTTAGTTATGAGACAAATCTGAAGCAGCTTCTCTCTTTTCCTTGAGGTTAAAATATATCCAATACCTTTTGTTACCTATGAATAATGTTAAAATATATCTGATTTGGGATTCCATATGGCATTATAACAATGTTTCATTGCTTGCAGAGTCACAAATAAGCAATACCTTGATTTCTGTTATTGCAGAGAGTGAGTGAGTGAGTGAGTGATGATGAGGGAAAAAATAATGCAAAATTGCTAAGTTCTCAGACAGGCACAACTAAAATGAAATGCTCATTGAAATGTTTGTAAATAAATCAGGATCACTACTGAAGACAGGTGGATAAACTTGTAAGTCTTTTAAGTAAGAAGAATTGTGTATCAAATAACTACATTACAATAGCCTTTTTTAGACGTTATTTTAGAATAAAATTGCAAGGACAAAATTGTTTAGTCTTGACTTTTCTGTTCTTAATGTGAAGATGCATAGCAAAATGAATAGAAGTGAAATAGTATTTTACAGAAATTCTAATAAGGAAACAAAACTGAAATATAGTTAAAACCAAAAATGCAGCTAAGACCTTATTTCATGTTGGATAGAAACAGCTGTTTATTCAAATTTTATGATTAAAAAGGTCGAAGCTTGCTTTGTGCAGTGAGTGGTAAGGCAACCGTATGTCTGAGCTGTGTTGTTTGGTTACGGAGTAGAGAAAGATGCAAACTGGATACACTTAGCTGTAATATTCACACAAATGAAGCAGATTGTCTCCCAAAACACAGTTCAACTCCAGAGCTTTAGAAGCTACCTAAGTGGCTGCGATGGACAAGGCATTCTGCATGTGGCATATTTTGAACAGATGCAGTGGGCTGTCTGGTAA